ATTTTCCTGAGAATTGTCCCATTTGCTCTTTCTACTTATTCTCTAGCACTTACAGTTATGTCCCTTTATCTCGTAAGAGCAGTCAAAGCTGGTCAGGGCTTTGGGGTAGAAAGAAGGAGCAGATCTTCGGCCTTTGGTTCAAGGTAACTTTGGTGTCCCTGGCATTAAAAATAATAAATCTTCCTCCCATATAGTTTATTCTAGTACAGCAGAGTTCTAATTGGGACCCTTATATTGTTGGTTACCTTTCAATGCATGGCTCCCTTCCCTTGTCCCCACTTCTTCTTTCCGACGTTACAACTGATTAAAAAGCCAGAACATGAGTACTACTGGGTTTTATAATGAAAATACCACACATTTCCTTAGGATATTCTACCTATTATTTTTAATATTAACTGTGAGAGAAAAAAGTTACTTTTATTTTACTTCTAGAAAACACAAGCTTCTCACTTCTCCAGAATGTTTTCCAAGGAGGGGTCTATGAAAGAATGAAGACAAATAATGTTACTACCACTATAAGTCAGTTGCAATGAGCTACACTAATCAAATGATCTAAAATCGTGAAATTATCTGAGTGGGTCTAACCTAATTACTAGAACCTTTTGAAAGCAAAGCTGGTAACAGAAGGGAAAGTCAGGGAGATCTGAAGTATAAGAAGGATTCACCATGAAGAAGGTTCTATTGCTGGGATGGAGGTATCCACAGGAAAGAACATAGAATGGCTTCTAGGAGCAGAGAGCAATCCTTAGCCAATAGCCAGTAAGACGATGGGGAATCTCAGCCCCACAGCTGCAAGGAACTGAATTCTGCCAACAAGGGTCATCTTGGAAGTGGATTCTTTCCAGAACTTTCAGATCAGGTAAGAGCCCAGCCCAGCTAGAAAACCCAATGTAGTCCACCCAGACTTCTGACCTAAAGAACTGTATGATAATAAGTAGTACCGTTGGAAGCCAATAACTTTGTGGTCATGTGCTATGCAGCGTTAGAAAGCTAACACAATTAGCAACTTGGAAACACCGAAGTGTAGCTTTAAGAGTCATCACATAGAAACCACTAGAGATGATGAGCTTTCCTGTGGAAAGTATAGAAAAGGGAAGGCTATATCAAAAAGCCTTGAGAGACACCTACAATTAGAGTATTTTTTTAAATGACAGCAATAATATATGAATTAAGATCTACACCAGCATTAAAACTATGAAAATACTCTATTGATAATGTGAAAATAACCAGATCACAAACACTTTCATCCACCTGTCCCTTCATTCACCCACTTCCATAAGGCCACTTTCACTCATGTAGTGCTTTTTATTGAGTCACTACTGCAATAATCTGAACCATAATTTTGCATTTTTCTACCCAAATACAGAGATCTATTGCATAAAGGAAAAAACTTTACAAATAACTGAATTCTCTGTAAAAGTTTGTTTGTAATGTCTGAAAGAATGGGGTTGAATCGTGTAGTCCTAAAACTAAATTTCCTTGAATCACTATTACAGCAAATATAAACTTACTTAACTTCCTAAGTAAAAACAGATGATTTTTATCATAATTCCTATCAATATCTTGCTTGAAATCTTCATAAAGTTTGTGTTTTTTCCTCCCTAAGCGTTGTCTTACACTAGTATTTAATTAAATCAAAACCTACAAAATCATTAATTACATAAAAACTGGCATTGAGAAACGTCCATTAATCAAACATAAGACAACCTCATATGTGCATAATTAATAACTGTGTTTTCTCACTACATCAAAGACTATCGCCTTTCCATAAAATTTTAATCACTTTCCAACATAGTCCCATCAACTTAATTATATTTGAACACAAATATAAAAAACTAGAAAACTAAGGCAGTTTTAAGGCTTCCCAAGTTACAATTTATTAAGATTTGGTAACTCAAAAAAATTCCAAGAAAATGATCCACTCATGCAACTAATTCATCACTGGAAAATCTTATGAGAACTGATGTAATTATTTAGCTTTTGAATGATTAAGAGAAAGACTTAAAGCAATACTACACAGATTTAACAAAACATGAAAGTTATCAAGGGCTTCCCACCCCATCAGTCAACTACACACAGATGGGTTCTGGATCCCTTGGGTGACAAGAGTCACCTGACCATGCACTCGAAGAAACCTCAGTAATGAGACAGCAGAACAAGAAAGGTAAAAGAACAGCTCAGCTCTAGTTAGTTTTGTTTCCTTAACTCATCAGCATGGAAACTCACCTAAGTTTTAACTACTTAGCCACTGGCAGGATGATTCTATTTCTCTCTCCTCACTCTGTAACTAATCAATACTTTCGGGAATGTTAACATCTTGTACACAAACTAATCTTCTATAAGCTGGATGAGAAGTAAAAGGTTTCCCAGCCCAGCCAACCTCTGACACTCTATGTGTTACAAATTCGTAGAAAGCGGGGCACCTGGGTGGCTCAGCTGGTGAAGCAGGTGCCTTGGGCTCAGGTCCTGATCCCAGGGTCCTGGGATTGAGCCCATATCAGGCTCCCTGCTCAGCGGAGAGCCTGCTTCTCCCTCTGCCTCGACCTGCTGTTCTGCCTACTTGTGCGCTCTCTCTCTCTCTACCCAATTAATTAATTAATTTTTTAAAAAAATCTTCAAATTTGTAGAAAGCAATGCTACCCTCCATCAAGGGTTCTCGGCTGGGGAGCTTTCTAAAGAACTGCTGGTGTGTAGTCCTCTCCTCAGAATCAGTAAATTAGAATCCCTGATGGTGGCCCTACATAATTTTAATCACAAAAGGGCAGGACTGTTTTAGAAACTTATTTTTTTTTTCACTCTCCTTAATATTTAATTTATAGTTTCAGTTTCAATCACCTATGGTGGAAATATAGTTCAAGGTTTTACTAAAATTGCTTTTATTTTTCTTAAAATTCTCTTGTTAAAGCTTCCAAAGCATCCCTTTAGAAGAAAAGGCCCATTTGCAACTCTCAGTACACCCCTCTTATAGTTGCATTGTTTTTAAGACAGTGAAATTGCACCATGTGTGTGCACTAAGTGTATATACACACACATACATACATATACACAAATGACATACCCAGACATATATGTTCTTAGAACAAAACAAAACACAACATGCCATGATTCAGAACTATTTCTACGTGTTGGCGAACGCTGGTCTTTTAAAAAAGTAAAAATGGTCTGCATTATTGCAAATTCTTCTCTTGGTGTGGTTCAGAAGTATGCTGGAATGTGGGCCACATTGCAGATCTTCAGAAAGTAAGAGCTTTTGTCTTCAAGCCCCCACCTAGGCCACAGGTACAGTTAGGAGTTGCCTGTATCAGTTATATAAGCCTCTCCTGTTCACTGACTCCTAATCTGAGCTATAGTTCATCACTGTGAAAAGCCTGCTATCACCTAGCATTGTGCATTTGTTTTTCTCCAGAATTATTTAGACCATTAAATGGGAAGCCAATAAATCCCTTAAACGCCACTGTAAATGGTAGTATTTCTTTACCCAATTTATCATATATCACAAAGAAATTCAATGACACCGAACTTTATATTGCTTTTAGAAACAAGAAAATGTTTTAATTTATGAAAGGTTTCTTTTTCTTTCTTGTCCCCATCAACAAAATGGGCCACACCAAATGAGGACACGAGGTCAGGGTCAGCATTAGCCCTGAATACAGAATTAATTGTGAAGTATCACAGAGAAAGGATGAGGGTTCTCAGATTAAAGGGCTTTAGACCACAGCCAACTTTCAGTTCGCACCTGTCAGTAGAAGTAAATGTAAGAAAACATATATAAAAAATACCCGTTCTACTTGAACATGAATTGTAATTTGTGCTAAAAAAGTATGTATACTATATAAGGAAATGTAATGTGTACTAAATAAGCATTAATCAATAAAACAAGTATCTGCTAAAGTGTAAAAATAATTAGGTGCTACAGATCATGGAAAGAAGTAAAGATTTTAGGCTAAGATGGAATCAGCTCCTCCACTGCCATCACTTTAGAGAAGAACCCAGGCCAGAGAGGCCCAGGACTCTCAAGTCACCAAGCAAGGACAGGGCTAGAACCCCCGACTTCCTATTCTAGGGCCTTCTACCACCACTCTAAATTTAGACTGATACTGTCTATAAAGATCAATACAGAAGGGCCATAAATACATGTTCAACACTACCAATAATCTGTACTAAGAGTTTGTTCATTTTTTGCCCCTCCTCTAAGATTTTTGAAGAAAGAAGTTGCACTCTTGGCGGTCAAGAGCACAGGCTTGGGAGACACGCTGCTTCAGTTCAACTGCCGGGTGCCATTTACTACTCTGTGGCCTTAGGCAAGTTATATGAACCCTGTATTCCTCAGCTTACTACTGATCTATAAAGCAGGGGTAACAATACCATAGGATATTGTGGGGAATAATTAATTTAATACTCACAGAGCAATCAGGACAGTGCCTGTCCCATAGGGATTGTACAAATATTAAATTCTCTCTCACTGAATAGATTTTCTGGGCTTACCAGACTAATCATCACTAAGTCCCTCGACTCTTTCTACATGCTCTACACCATACAGTAGATATGGCAAAGAAATGTCGATACTGCCCTTAGGAACTATAAAACAAAATTCCTGAAATCATGGACTCAAGTTTTCTTTATAAAAGAGTTTATTGATTTTTTTGACAGAGAGAGAGAGCAAGAGAGGGAACACAAGCAGGGGGAGTGGGAGAGGGAGAAGCAGGCTCCCTGTTAAGCAAGGAGCCCAAGGAGGGGCTCGATCCCAGGCCCTTGGGATCATGACCTGAGCCTAAGGCAGACACTCAATGACTGAGCCACCCAGGCGCCCCCAGATTCAATTTCTATCTCTGCTTCTAACTGCTAGTATATTGAGAAGTTAGTTTCCTAGGTTTGGGCTTTCTCTGAAATGCGTACAACGAAGTCTGCCATCAGTCAAGTTATTGTAAAGCTGAGACAACATGCCCTGGGAGCAGCTTAGAACACAGGGCGTTCCCTAGATCTGTGAATATAAAACTTACTGTTCAGAGTCATAGTAGTCCATACGCTTCTTTTTCTTGTTGTAAGCTGCGACTCGAAAGGGAACTATTTCCAAGGTGATCAGGCCAGGGGCCATTGTCAGCACTTTGGCACCATGAGTTGGCTCATACAGATCCTTCCCTGTTTCTGGATGAGGCATGCCAGCAGGGTCCCGTCCAACAATGTAAAAATTGGCTCCTGCAACCATCCGTGCTCTGCAATGCCATTGGACCTGGAATAAAAGTTTTCATATTTGGTAACTCTGCTTTTAGGCCAGTACTTAGAAGTTGTAAATGGATAATAAATCACGGATACAGATGGCCCCAAACTTATAGTCCCCAGCTTTATGATGGTGCGAAAGTAATATACACATTCGGGAGAAACCATACCTCTACCTTGGAATTCTGGAGTTAGCTAGCAATATGCAGTAGAATCCTCTCTCATGATGCTGGGCAGGGGCAGTGAGCCACAGCTCCCAATCAGCCACACGATCACAAAGGTAAACAACCCACACACTGACAACCATTCTGACCATTCTGTTTTTCATGTTCAGTATAGCAGTCAATGAATTATATGAAGTATTCGACATTTCATTATAAAACAGGCTCTTTGTTAGGTGATTTTTCCCAACTGTGCTAACATGAGTGTTCTGAGCACATTTAAGGTAGGCTAGGCTAAGCTGTGATGTGTGGTATGTTAGGTGTATTAATTGCATTTTGACTTAACAGTATTTTCAACTTATGATGGGTTTATCAGGACATAACACCATCAAACATTGAGAAGGACCTGGAGTATTTATATAATGAATATCAGTAGGAAATCTCAACAAATTTAAATATGTCATCTTGGAAAGCCAGGAACAAAATTGGCAAGCCCTTCCCACTAAAATCTAAAACCATAAATGTATATAGATGTTTATGCATATGTATTTATACATATTTCTGCCTCTTAAGAGATATGTAAATGTACATGTGTCTATATGTACGCTTGTACACAACCACAATATGTCCTTTATATATAGTTCAAAATCTAATCTCTTAGAAGTCAGGCTAGCAGTTTATCCTTTGAGGAAAGCAACTGGAAGGGGCTTCTGGGTTAATGGTAATGCTCTTTATTTCCCCCTAGCTTTACTGAGAATAACTGACAAATAAAACAGTATATATCTAAAGCATACATGATGTGATAGTCATATATATTGTTAAATATTGACCACAATCAAGTTAATTAACACATCTATCACCTCACAGTTACCTTTGTGTGTATGTGTGAGCTGAGAACAATTAAGATCTACTCTCAGCAAATTTCAAGTACATAATATAGTATTATTAACTATAATCACTAAGCAGAACCTTCAATCCTCAGAACTTACTCATCTTATAATTAAAAATTACCAACTTGGGAAATAAGAGCTTGTATCTAATCCATTTTGATGTTAGCTCTAGGAGTCCCTGGTAAGGTTCTGTCTCACGACCCAGGATCCTGGTTGCTGATAATTAGAGTACGTTCGCTATAAGAAGTCCTTGAACCATACAAAAACCTGTAAGGTATACACTCTTCTCTGTTATATTAGAACAGGTTTAAAAAAAAAAAAAAAGCTACTGGATGACAAAGATTTCAATTATATGAATCCTTACATACACACACTGGCGCTGAGAAAACCTGATAGCTAAGTGACTCATACCCCAGATACCAGGTAAGAGTAAAACCAGGTGTTGGCTGTGACTCCACAGCTACACAGCATCCAAAACGAGCTCGGAAGCAGAGACAGCCACACTCGCAAGTGTGGAAAAATAAAAAATAATTCATTTAACACCCGCAACTGTAGAACTTTAGAAGTTAAAGTGGCTGTAAGAGAGCATCATTCTCCTTAACATATGAAGAAAATGATCACCCAAAGGTTAAGTGACTTGGCCAAGAAAATGCAGAAGAAACCCGGGTCTAGAAGTCTGGCCTCGGCTCCCTCTCAGCAGTAAGCTCCGCCACTCAAGTGACTTACACAACCATTCTGGTCTAGGTGAAAATAAGATATAAAGGATGACCACCCACACAAATGTTGTCATTTGTTCTCTCTTGGTAGTTCATCTTAGACCAAGATATATTTTTATTGACGTGGTTTAGAAAGTGCAATAACATAAGGACAATCCCAAACCCAACACTCAAACTGATCACCCTGAGGAGTTTCAGCTTTTTCAGTCGTTTCTACTGATTTTTACCTGTGTTTCTTTCTTTTTTTAAGATTTTATTTTGAAGTGTCTCTACACCCAGCATGGGGCTGTGATCGAGAGTTCTGTGCTCCACTGACTGAGCCAGTCAGGCACTCCCGTGTTTCTAAATGGCATTTGTATACTGCTGATTTGACTATTTATATTTCCTACTATGATGATGCTTGACTCTTACTCCATCTTCCTCATTCCCTATCCTATTTATCCAATAAATACAGTGATATCACCACTGTTGGTGAAATCAACATTTGTCTGTAAAATTGGAAGTACAATTGTATTTATCTCATAAATTTTTTAAGAAAATTAATATATGAAACATAAAGACTTAGAATAGTACTTGGTATAAAGTACACAATAAATGTTAGCCATTACCATCTTTATTTTATTCCCCTCCTTATACAACTGTTTGTTTTTCCTAGAGTTAATAATTGTCTTGACTTTTTTTTTTCACTCACCTATTTTTCCATATACCCATATTTCTAAGGACCTTATACTACCTTTCTTACTGAGAACACAGTTTAATACAATCCCAGTATTCCTTGCAGTGTAGTCATGTGGCAGAGATTTGGCCGAAAAAAATGAGAGACCAAATGGTATGTGGCCAGTTCCAAACTTGGAACATTCAAAAACCTCCTGAGCAATATCCTAGTTCTCTTTCCCCATATGCTAGCTAAATAAAGAGGACCCCAAGGTCCTATCACTATGTGTTTTCCACTATGCAGCATTACTACTGTTTGCAACGAGCTGTAATAGTCCTATATGAACAAGATGGCAAAATACGATAATAAAAGACTTTTGTTCCTCATATATGACCCATCTTCCTCCAACCATTCTTAGATTCAGCACTTCATGAAAATTCTGGTCATTCCCCTCTGCCCCTTCACTGTAGACACACACAAGACCTTTGCTAGTTCCGACTCAGAATTTTTATCAAAGGGTCAAAATCAATCAATTAACTACTTGGCAATTTCACTTAGGTGGAAAATCATTTCAGCCTCATGCAAATTAGCCACTGCTTACAGATTAAATTAAAAAGGCAATCGAAGTTCTCTGATTTCAGGTGAACTTACTTTGTTCACTAAATATTTATATCTAGATAAGTAAATCATTCAAGTACCAAATGGTCAATGAACCAAGGATGTATGGCTTAATTTTAACATGTAAGGAAGCTCAGAACATTTAATCCAACCCTCTCTGCCCTTTTACAAGAAGAGGAAACCGAAGCCAGAAAAATTAGTACCTTACAGGATCACAAAGCAACTGGCAGTGGCCAGTTCTGATTCTGGCTTATAAAATATCCAGAAATTTAATTGCCTCTTTAATTTCTCCTAGATGTTAAATGAGTAAATTAAAGGTAAACATAACAAACACGGACAGAGTCAACATTCTCCTGCAAGTGACCAGATAATTTCAATTTGTATTTTAGGGACTGATTTCCCTGTGAGAATACTTTTAAAACTGTTAACAACCAGGAATAAACAAATCACATGTAACTTTTCCAAGAATGCCTGGTATGAATCAATTTACAACCCACTGAAAAGGTAATATGCTTTAATCGAAAGAATGCAAGTCAGCCCATAGCCATCCTGTATCTGGTTTAGGAAGACAGATCTAAAGCCTGCTTTTGCCCCTTCATGACAGAATGCCCTTAGTAAAGTTTGGACTTGAAACTGAAACCTCAGTTTCCAAAATTATAAAAATGAAAAAGATAATGTTTAACATATCAGATTGGTGGAAGGCTTGAAAACACTCAAGATACTCTTTGGCCCTCAACAAAGGACAGTCACAAACATTGCCACTGTTACTACTACTCTGTGAAATAGTCCATGACAATTTCAGTTGCATTTAATTACTTCCTAGCCAGTGTTTCCAAAGAAAATTCACTTGCTCTATGAAAAAGATGACACCCGGCCTAGAAGGTGGTCACTGAAACCCTGTGAGAGCTGCCTGTTTATCCCTCTAGCACAACTGACGTCAAGATGTATTATCTTTTTATGTGGCAAGCAGGTTTGGAATACTGAATGCACAGGAAGAAGGAATACAAGTGATGTCTATGGCTTTCCTATAAAGTCTTCTAAGAATCCATAAATGGCCAACCTAACATGTGACTTATTTTCTCCTTTACCTGCATCTGTGTGCCAAATAACAGATTGGCTTTTTTTCTGATTACAAAAGTAATTTAACTCCTACGTGGCGAACAGTGCTGGTTGCCTATACAACTGACTTTCCTTCGCCCCAATCTCTTTCTTGATGACAGAAACCTCAGTCTAGAGGGTGAAAGTGCCAGGTCCTTGTTTTTGCAGCCTTCCCTGCTGTACAGCCATACGGCCAGCCATACACTGTGGGCCTCTGAGCAAACAATAGGACCTCTGAGGAAATCTGCCAGAAGATTTCTGAAAAACTTTTCCCTAATAGAATTCTCAACTCTCATTTATCTGAAAATGTCTTTACTTCACCTTTATTTTGCTTGAATATAAATTCTAGATTAACAGGCATTTCTTTTTGTTAACGATATAACTCCATTGTTTCTTGTTCATATTGCTCCTGAGAAGTCAGCCATCGTTCCTACTATTTCCATACTGTTCCCTCTTCCTCCCTCCCTCATCGTTTGGTTTTATCTTTTTCTTTTTTTTTTTTTTTTTTTTGGAAGATTGTGTTTATTTATTTGAGAGAGAGAGAGAAAGTGTGCAAGAGGGGGTGGGAAGCAGACTCCCCAATGAGCGTGGAGCCAGACAAGGTGCTCAATCTCATGACCCTGAGATCATGACCAGAGCTGAAACCAAGAGTCGGACGCTTAACCACTTAACTCACTGAGCCACCCAGAAGCTTCCTTTTCAGGATCATTTTTATATCATGAAATCTCAGCAGACTGCTTGTGCCTAAGTGTGGTTATCTTTGGATTTATTCTAAGATTTATTAGGCTTCTTGAATTTGTAGGTTGACATTTTCCACCAATTTTAGAAAAATTTAACCATCATTTTTTCAAAAACCTTTTTTGGCACATTTCTTT